ACACGAGAAATAACAAGATCATTCTCATGTGTTTATAAACAAAAATTTATAAGTTTGACAATTTTTTTTTTTTTGTCATTTCCACTTGAAGAGCTCTTTTGTTCTGGGCCCTGTGCCTATGCATTTGTTGGACTCTCCTATGGCATTGATGAATCCAATAGCACATCAGACTTGCCTATGATCGAAAGAACTGAATTCAATCTTATAAAATTTATAAATAGGTATTATTTATGACTAAAACTAGATTTTGTTTTTTCATTTGAGATTACGACGTATTCGTTCTAAAGAAATCGTTCCAGCGATTTTGAATTTAAAAATATTGGCATATTTTATTTGCGAATTTTCAGAATACAAATTATAACAGATTCTTAATTATTAAAATTAATTAAGAATAAAAATAATTGACTTAGAATCGAATCCGACCAAGCAACCCAAGGAATTTTGCACGGGCCCTGGATAATTTTTTATTGTATTATACTGACCAGTTTTAGTATGACTTGTGCATTGAAAACAGTATAGTATTTCTAACATAAGTTGTTAGTAGTCGAACCAGAATAAACCACTTTTCAAACGGTTTTAGAAAAAGACTGGTTTATTGAACCAGGGTCTCAGCACATAGCGCTTGTCATCAGTAGTCAATACATGCAGTTAATGTAGTCACATTGTCACGTGCAGTACAGAAACTAGTTGAGACGTTTTCACATACCTTGAATACAGCACTTTTGCACATCAAAACAAAAGCTAGAAATTGCTAAAATGCATCTGATGACTTACGAGTGGATCTTTCAAAAAAAAAAAAGAGTCTCGTTTTAATAGAATTATTATGAATAAACAACAACATACCTAGCCATTAAAATTTAAATATTTCTTTTTATGTTATATAGTAATATATATTGTAAATAAACGCGGCATTTGTTTATGCAATAAATGTTTTTTTTCTTAAATAAAAAATATACACACATTTTTTAAGGGGGTGCAAGAGCTTATTTTCAGATTCAAGGGGGTGCTGACCACTAAAAAGGTTAAGAACCGCTGGTCTAGAGCAAACGTGTAAAGCAAAAACTCTACGACTCATCCTTTGCGGTGGGAGTTAGAATGGTCCTCGTTAGAATTTCGAAGCGCTACCGTTCAAATACTATATATTTTGTTGTAAAATTAACGAATAAAATTTAAATACTTAACATTGATATACAAATTACGTGTTGCACGTGAATTTTCAGCGAAAATAACAAATAAAAATATGGTGTCAATATTACATTTTAATGTAGATTATATTTCTATGTAGTTTATATTAAAATATAATATTGTCACCATATTTTTATTATATACTTACTTGTATGTATAAAAAGGTTTTGATATTTCTATATAGTTTATTTATTTTATAAAATCTCCATTAATTAATTAAATATTTGTCATCACCGTTTAAAGTAATAAAATGTGATTTTTTTAAAAATTAGTTCACCTAAAAAAATGTTTATTCAATACTAATTTCGTATTTATCATGCAAATAATATCGTAGAATGAATCGGGAGATATGAAGGGAAATATCTCATGTAATTCACTTATCATGCTGCTTGTTTGATATTTCAATTAATTGCCTAATCACTTATATGCTTATAAATCATCGCGCTATTTATCCCAAGTATATTTAATTATATCTACAAAGTAAAAAGGACATTTGTAAATTTGCTACAGCTTTCAATTTATCCTTCAGTTGTTTTTATTAATCATTATATTTCATTTAATAAGTTTGTTTTCAGTTAATTCACATTTCGTTACTTTAATTACAATTTTACCAATTGATCAGAACCACCATTTGTTTTGTATTATGTTTTTACATATCTTTTGTTTCCATTTCATGTTTGATACTTTTAATTTCCAAAACTTGCAATAAAATATGCAAATATTTGCATCATAAATTTGTAATTTTTATTGTTTATGTCATATAATAAAATATGGAACTGTTATACATGAAAATGTTGTATTGTTCATTTAATAAATTAATTCTTGTACTTTATCAACATATCCTTTTGCTCTTGGTATGTTCTATTACTGTAAACTTTATTGTCTTACTAATAAAGTCAATGCTTTAATAATTTCATAAACTACATATAAACTTCATAATTACATAGTAACTACATTAGAATACAATTACATAATAAACTAAATATATATGCCTATACAGTTTTAAGTTATTTTAAAATTATATTGTAAAAACCAAGCGTTTAAAATTTATTTCATAGACTATAGTTTATTTATTTTATAAAATTTCCTTTAATTTATTAAATATTTGTCAACACCGTTTAAGGTAACAAAATGTGTGTTTTTTTTAATTAGTTCACCTAAAATAATGTTTATTTAACAGTAATTTCTTATTTATCGTGTAAATAATATCGTAAAATGAATAGGGAGATCTGAAGGGAAATATCTCATGTAATTCACTTATCATGCTGCTTGTTTGATATTTCAATTAATTGTCTAATCACTTATATGCTTATAAATCATCGCGCTATTTATCCCAAGTATATTTAATTATATCTACAAAGTAAAAAGGACATTTGTAAATTTGCTACAGCTTTCAATTTATCCTTCAGTTGTTTTTATTAATTATTATTACACATTTAGTAAGTTTGTTTTCAGTTAATTCACATTTCGTTACTTTAATTACAATTTTCGTAATTAGTTTGAATATAATACTTCGCAGAATGGTTAAACTGTATTGATTTTATTCTCTAGTATAATTAGTTTATATTACTATTTAACTTACTTTATTTATTTACTTATGTTTTCGTTTATGTTAACTTATGTTAACATAAACGAAAACATTGAAAACTTAAATTTATTATTTTATTTAAAACAAAAGTGGTTTTTAAATAGAAAAAAAAATAAAAAATATTTATATGTATGTACACGAACACGTTTCTTTTTATCATAAATGCAATATGCTTACGGAACTCCTATGGAACTTCAATGTTCTTAGAAATATAGTTTGAAAGTAATATTTTTAAAATGATTTATTTTGCATGATATCAGTTTACAATCGCTTAAATTTCGATTTTTGTTTATCATAATCGATCGCCACTAGTGGTCGAGTAGATAAAACCACCGAACACTGGTAGTTGTTAGTGGGTTCGCGTCTAACCAATAGGCTGGCCAAGCACTGTGTCCCGGGGTTTTCTTCGCATGTCTAACACCTAAATAGAAACCAGTTTTCCATGAAAATTCTCCGGAAGAAACCCCTTGTGTTGCATCTCTTTAAACCACAAAATTAACTCATTGGAGCTTAACTGTTGTCTGACCCACAATAATGTCAGCACAGGTTTGAAATATTAGAAGAATTCGATTGGTAATATAATTGGCATCGCCATTAAAATTACTGTACGACGTGTTAATGTTAATTTTAGTTAAACGAGGGCGAATGATTTCCCAAATTCTCGAACCATATTAGAGCGAAACCGTGTTGTAGAAGCGCCGTGTTGTACTAGGGATACCTGTACTACATATAATAGTTATATCAAGAGTTATAAAAAATATATAAAGATAAAACATTGAATAGAAAGAAATTTAAGGAGTTATTCAAGTAATTATTATAACGCGGCTATAAATAAGTTTACATGAAAGACTACATCTGAAGTTTGATAGGAGGAATTCCACCTGATCCGTGTAATGCCAAGGTGGGAGATATCGTTCAATAATGAAGTTAGGCTTTAAACTTGATGGCAAACATATAGAGCATGTATTTTTCCATCCATAGAAAGGGATAGTACTCAATTGTTAGTAAAATATGCAATGTTTTGTGTTTTGGTTACTTTTTTGCTACTCTATATATAATATATTATATTTTAAATTATAAACTAAATGTAATTTTATCATTTTAACTTCAAAAAGTAACTGTTTTATTTCATAATTTAGAACACAATGAGTGTTTTCGTTTTTATGCTGTTCGCATTTCTCCTTCAATTTCATAGTATGCAATCAATTAGTTTCAAAATTTGCAATATGGATGAATTGAGACAAGCATTAGCATACTTATGCCAAGATTATTCGTGGATTAATAGAGAAATAAGTAAGTGTAATAAATACTGTATATAAATAGATTTTATTTAAATTATAAACATTACTAATTATCTTTTTTTATATAAAAGGTGTTCCAGTTCAATCGGATGTTAATGGAATGTGTTGTTATTATCCCTGTACCCACGAAAGTATATATTATCTTTGTGGAACATACGGTAATCAGCAATGGTAAATGTTAAGATGTAAGAAAAGACGAACGGAATAAATTATTATTATAATGATTCATATTTTCATTACTATCCAATTGAGTATTTTCTATTGTTTCAATAAAATATTTTCAAATTCAGATCCAAACAATACTTCCCCCCAATTATTGAATAATTCCGATAGCCTATTTAATCGCCGTTGAATAAGAAATGTTCTTTCACAAGAAATGTATAAAATTACAGTACTGTATTAGACTTACGGTACCTAATTTACATACTGTACAGACGATAGTTCGCCTAAACTCTCCGTAGCGTGGTGCCAGGCGGCGGAAAGCATATATATAATTATAATAAAGTTACAATAAATTAAGTTAATATATAATTATATATACAGTACCTAATTTATATATAATTTATATATAATTAT